ATGAGAAATGTCTGCTATGTATCTAATAAGATAAGAATGAGGTTGACTAACATCTGATGTAACAACCAATAAACATCACTGCTTATGGAAAGATGAGAAATGTCTGCTATGTATCTAATAAGATAAGAATGAGGTTGACTAACATCTGATGTAACAACCAATAAACATCACTGCTTATGGAAAGATGAGAAATGTCTACTATGTATCTAATAAGATTAGAATGAGGTTGACTAACATCTGATGTAATAACCAATAAACATCACTGCTTATGGAAAGATGAGAAATGTCTACTATGTATCTAATAAGATTAGAATGAGGTTGAGTAACAACTGATGTAATAAAGAAACTTTATTTATTTTAATTTCTTACCACAGAATTTATATATTTCTTAACAGTTGTAATTCTTAAGGAACATTTGTTGAAAATCGTGACTAGTTCATTACCCATGTCTGATAATGAACACATAAAACTTCCATTATATCTAAAACAAAGTATAAAAAAACAATGAACTCCACATGAAAAGTTGACATACTTCAGTTTTAAGACATCTTCAATTAGTACCTTAGAAATACTGGACCACTTACCTAATATTCTGTTGACGACATCACAGTTTTGATCTATTTCATGCAGCCACCTTTTTACGTTAGCAAACGACTCTCCATTTGTAACGTCATAAACAACTATAACTCCGTGGGTCCCTCGATAATATCTGGAACAGTTGTTATGAAATTAAATCTTTTAGGGATTTTGGACAATTTCACTCAAAATATTCAATGTAAATAAAATTCGTTAGGTGTAGCAAAAGAAGAATTTTTTTGAAGAGAAATCATGACAAAATTTGTTGAGAAAATTTTATGGATTTATGAATAATTATAAACGATACTAACACAGTTGCTAATAAAAATTATATTTATACCATATTAAAATTCATTTCAAAGAATCTTAAAAGTATTAACTATCACTGAATAAACATTAAACTGTTTCAGTCTTCTTTCCAACTTTAGAAAAAAAACTTTAGATCTGTTTTACCAAAACGTATAGGGGAGTAAAATGTAGTGTCATATCTAACGAACTATGATGACAAACAGAGCAGCATAAAAAAAAATGTATACATTAAACTATTTAACAAAATATATATTTAACTAATTAATGTTATATTCTAAGTTGGGAGGATCTCAGTTTATATTACTCAAACTTTGTAATTAATTCAACAGTCTTGTCATACTAAAGTGCTAAAAAAATAAACGAATTCAATTAAAAACGGTATGGAAAGTAAATATACATACATCACGAGTACGGCTGAGTGATTAACTCAATTACCTATGAGCATCAACTATATCAAACTGATCAAAATTATGTTTGTTTGTTTTAAGTTAAGCACAAAGCTACACAATGGGCTATCCGTGCTCTGCCCACCACGAGTATCGAAACCCGGTTTCTAGCGTTGTAAGTCCACAGACATACCGCTGTGCCAAGGAGGGCTCAAAATTATGAATAAATTTATAAAATTATTACTATTTTCAATTATTCCAATGATACAAGTCTTATGTGAGAATAATCAATTAGTTGAATATAATTAATTAACGAGCCCAATGATTAACCGAGTAGCACGTTCCACTAATTACCCAGCCTTTTTTTTTTTTTACATAAAAGACTTATTGGTTACCAGTCATCATAACCTTAATAAAACAAATAAATGTGTGTAAAAATATTACGTTTCGTTACAAAAGCAAACTCTAATCAACCATCTTAATCTCTACTACTACGTCTAATTTCATTACACTTTTAAAAGTGCAATATGCTATTCTTTATTTCCTAACTGTGTTCTTACATAATACAAATATATTCATACCAGTTTTATCATCAAGATTTTACCACAGAATCACTACTTAACCAATCCAAGCAGTGTGCTGTTGCTAGTAGTAGGGGAAATAGGATTTTAGGTTGTATCTACAGAAGTATTAAATACAAGTCTAAATAGTTCATAATTTCATTGTATAGGTCGCTGGTTAGGCCACATTTGGAATAGTGTGTTCAATCTTGGGCTCCTTACCTGAGGAAGGACATTGAATTGTCGGAAAGAGTTCAGAGGAGGGTTACTAGAATGGTGCCTGAGATAGAGGGGTTGTCATACGAGGAGATGAAAATCTCTCAAATTGTTTTCTTTTAAAAAAAGAAGAGTTAAGGGTATCTTATTAGGTGTTTAAGATTGTAAAGGAATTTTCAGTAATATGCATCATCTTTTTCCATATTTAACAGTGAGAATAGTAGGATTAGGGGACACATATAAATTTGGGCAGGGTAGGAGTCATCTTCAGCTAAGACAGTTTCATTTTTCTAACAGGGTGGTTGACCTTTGGAATGGGCTGTCTTTGGATGTTGTAGAGGCAGTAAATTTAAGTGAGTTTAGAAGAAAACTTGATAAGTACATGAATGATAAGGGCTGGCTTTAAGTTTTTCTGTTTATTTGTTAATAGTTTTCATTTAGTTTAGAGGAAGGGACAGCCGAGATAGACCAATAGGTCACACGTTGTCCCAAAACAATGCGTTATAAAAAAAGCTACGCAGAAAATGTCTTATCTTTATCAAATACACTGTTTATAAATGTATAAGACAAAGAACAATAAACAGTATTATGATTTGAAAACTTAATAAAAGTTTAAATTCTTCTCTCTCTCTCTCTGGTTTTTTACCAGTTTTACTTATCTTTATCAAATACACTGTTTATAAATGTATAAGACAAAGAACAATAAACAGTATTATGATTTGAAAACTTAATAAAAGTTTAAATTCTTCTCTCTCTCTCTCTGGTTTTTTTACCAGTTTTAAAATGTTTAAAGACACATATCACAGCAGCAGACCTGTGACAGAACTGACGTTTTATGTTTAACTTTTGTAAAGGCTTACAAACAAAGCAGCTTATTATCCCAGTAGCTGATACAAGCATACATATAGTTTTAATATTGTTACATTCAATAAGAACAGAGCTCAAAGAAATTATTTCACAATATTAATAACTTCATCATGAAGGAAGAATTTTTAACAGATTCAGAAATAAATAATTTTGTTTTATGTGGATGATCAGAGACCGTCTCGTTTACATATAATAAGAATCCAAAATTATAGTAAGTGATAAACATACTAATAATACAAGGGTTTGAAACAGTAATAGGCATGTTCACACAATTAAGCAATGTCTTTTTTTCAAATAAGGTGTTTCAAAATAACATACAGTAAGCGACATTTAAAACATAACTTCTGTAATTGGAAGGATTTACAAGAAACAAGATAAGCTTAACTTTTTTATTTGGACTTTCATATTCGAATACACAATACTCACGTAGACGTAATGGTTCTAAAACGTTCTTGTCCCGCAGTGTCCCAGATCTGGAGCTTTACTCGCTCTCCGTCTACCTCAATTGTCCTAATTTTGAAATCTACTCCAATGGTTGTGATATAATTTCCTGAAGAATGAAACATTAATGATAAGTATAAACACCTACTTTGATTATTTTTTTTCTTAACTTTATCTATTCACACAAGTAATAAAATGTTAACAATACCACTCACAATGCAACAGTTAAAATTACTACATCTTACATTGGTATCTCTAAATTAACACATTGTGTTCTTTTTTTTTCTGTTCCACTTTGAATTTCATTTTATAAATATACCCAGTTTTTAATCTTAGAGAACCCACCAGCAGAGCCTTCGTGACAAAATTCTGGACCCTCAGCAAGGTATTTAATTGTTAGTTTGTTTTAATACATAAATCAGGAATAAAAAGGGAAAATTTGGCTTACTTAATTAGATATATATAAATTTTGGAATTATAATAGTCTTTATATAGTTAATAAAGTGTGACAATTAATTTTTTTATTGCTCATTACAAATTCTTTGACGAGTTTCTTGTTTTCAGTGAAGCCAACCCTGTGACACAGATGATTTCAGATAAGCTTTAATTACTTTCACCTCTTAAAAAACTCCTCTCATGAGAAACAACAGTCACTACAGCTGTAAGTAGCCCCTGTAAAAAATGCACCCACACGTTGGGACAGACTGCTGCTACGACATTTTTTGTAAATAAAGTGCTGTGTTCCAAGAGCATCAAATTTCTCTAAGAGAACTGTAACTAGGCTTTGAATCAATTTCATCGACATCTGACCTATCTTTATGGTTTCTTACACATGTTGTTCGTAAGTTCTACAGTTTAAGGAACGAACCAATGTCCCCTTGTATTGTTTGTAGTTTAAGCACACAGCTACACAATGGGCTATCTGTGCTCTGCCCACCCCGGGTATTGAAACCTGGTTTCTAGCACCTAAGTCCACAGACATAATGCTGTGCCATTGGGGGGGGGATCCCCTTGTATCACAATTAAGGGGACACAGTGGAAATTTTGAGGGACACCCTTGAAACATACTGTTTTTCATAGTAGAAACTATTACCAAGATTGAACAATTATGTTTAGTTGATGGAAAAGGATTGTGTTATCATTGTTACACATTCAACAAGTTACTGTTACAATTCTACAACACCTTTTACGTTTCCAAAGTGACATCTTGAGTAATTTACACGGGTGTGGCATGTTAGTCGTACGTAAATTAGCCGTTCTCAACCTGGAACATTATGGGTTGTCACACTACTGCAAACCTCTACCCCATGGTGAGCAGTGGGCACTAAACAGATGCTCGACTATTGTAAATCTACACCTAAAAGAAAGTAAATAAAAGATAAAGAGCACTTGTAGAATGATTTAAGATACCGATGAGTTCTAAAACACAAAATTACTGTACTAATATCATATAATCGAAGAGAACCTCCGAACTACCTCTTATGAAGTTAATATCAATGCATTTAATGCATTTTTAGCCTCATTTTGGGTGAAGTAGAATTCCTTTCTAGTGGCCCTTTAATTGGTCAACAATTAAATGAATGGAAAGAATAAAAAAAAATCATTTTGTTTAATTTCAACAGCTTAGATTGCACAAACTTTCACTGGCCTCAAATATTTACACAGTTATCATACCCTGACCTTTTCAATCTTCAACAGACAGACATTTCACTTTTTTTTTAATGATCTCCGACAGAGGAGAGTCTTCAACATTTATTTCAACATTCTTACAGCTGCTCTTAACACTAGAGATAGAATTCATTGTTATAGACAGTACAGTTGCATTAACGTCTTCTTTTGAGGGATGATTAACTTAGCAACACATCTGTGAAAAGCTTGATTTCCTCATTCAAATAGATAACTATTGCAATTATCCTATTACACATGCCTGTTAAATGGTGGCATGCAATTTCAATTAAACGTTTGAGCTATGCTGCCTACTGTAGAATTGGTAATCAACTATTTCTAATTCCCTCTATTTCACGAGGCATTCCATTGTAAGCTGCCTTTCTCGTGAGATTTTCTGACGTTTATTTTATACCTTGTCAGGAACAAAAATCTCCATCAACAAGCTACACCTTATTTAATTTTTTGTAGTACATACTGGTGTATAAAAGACGTTTTAATACTAGTAATAAACAACCTTATAACACCAAATTTATCTTTCTGTAACTGGACACTCAAAAGTTTGCTTTACAGCTTCTTCGGGAGTTCTGTAAAGCAAAACATCGTGTGTCCAATTACAGAAAAATAAAATTTGGTGTTATAATGTTGTTTATTACCAGTATTAAAAGCTGCATCTTCTTGTCACCAAACAAGCAGAACATTTTTACATCAATCATGAACATGACTTTTTTTTTTGCCTGCCTATTTTATTATAATGAAAGGTAATTAAATAATCACCTATTTATCAGATCATTCTGCCTATGCCCTCTTGTCAGAACAAGCCCACGCATAAAAAAAAACACGAGTTCTGTCAGTTTTTTCTTTATAAGAACTAATGTAGATATTGGACTCGTTAATAATTGTATAACTTTTAAACTAAGTAACTAATACAGTACATATACCCTAAATAACATCCACAAGTTACACATGTTAGTAGTTGCCGTCTTGGAAATTATTAACATGATAAACATATAACATCTATAATAAGCAGTGTATCATTAGTTAGTTTGGGGGTCTGTTCAACGTGCATACGTGTTGATGTTTGTGACCACGTGATGTGAGTTGAAAAATGATAAAACTGGTATATGTGAAACTGTGAAGTACTATTACAAGTATTCATGTTAAAATCATCAATTTTCATCACTTCATAAGCGTGTATCAACATTATGTAATACTTACGAGTCCAAGTAGACATCCTTTCGTTCTATAAATCATTTATTACAGGATTACTATTCGTCTTCAAAGGTGCCATGATCAGTTACTGATCACTTTACAAACACGCTGTTTTATAACCCAATCAAAATCATGTTTCTTCTGAACATAAATCGTGTAGGTATGAAGGCTGGATTAATCAGACGTGACCAACTAATGGGTCACCTGCCTGAAAGTTCACTCATGAATGTGCAAATCAACCCGATACCACACTTTCATTTGTGTACCCCAAAACCTGCCTCAAAATGTAAATATGTTTGATACTGGTGATTACACTAATAACATTAGAATAATAAAAATAGTTTGTTTGTTTTACCTTTTTTTTCTACACACACACACATGGACCAAAATTTATTGTGTGAAATACTTAGGGTTCCGTGCTATTTACGAACCCTGAATACCATTAACGTAAATATCAAAAATCAATGACCCATGCACTAACCCCTGAAGCACTCCACTTATAACAAGGGTAGAGATTAGCCTTTAGTTTTCTCTCATCCAGCTACCCTATAGTCCAATCAGATTTTTTTCCAAACCCTAATAATCTCATTTTCTTACCTAGTTTTCCATGTGGCACCTTATCAAAAGCTCTTTTTAAACTCTAAGTACATCAATCTCACATCTTTTCCATTGTCCAGCTAACAAGTAACATCCTTGTTACGCCAGGATTTTCCTTTGATGAGTGTCCATTGTTCAGATAACAAGTAACATCCTTGGTACGCCAGGATTTTCCTTTGATGAGTATCCATTGTTCAGATAACAAGTAACATCCTTGGTATGCCAGGATTTTCTTTTGTGAGTGTCCATTGTCCAGATAACAAGTAACATCCTTGGTACGCCAGGATTTTCCTTTGATGATGCATACTGGCTTTCTTTTGTGACAGCATATTTCACTAAATAACTTTTAAAGCTTCTTTCATCATACTCCATAATTTTCCCATCTACAGAATTAAGACTAACTGACCTATAATTTCCAAGACAATTTTTATCACACATCTTAGAAATATGTAGTAACTCTCTATCTCTGCTAGTAAGCCAGCATGTCACATTAACAGTCTATACACACAGTTCTTCACATTTATCTGTGTTTGTTATTTGAAACTTTGGTGACTTGTTTTTGTAACGAGTGAAATGCAGTACATCTACATTACATAATAATAGTAGATCTTTAAATAAGAAACAACCTATTAGAAATATATGTGAAATTTTCCAAGACATAATACTTGTTTGTTTATTGTTAAGCACAAAGCTATGCAATGGGCTATCTGCACTGTTCCCACCACGAGTATTGAAACCCAATTTTTAACCGGGAGGGGGGGTGGACATAACACTCACCTGTAAATGTGTTGTCAGCAAACCTAAGAAGGAGACTACTCTTTCCGACACCTGCAAAAATATATTTCACTTATTACATGGTTTGAGAATAATTAAGAAAGACAAACAAGAATAATTGTCACAGTTTTATGTCTGCAGAGTCTGGATATTAGGCTTCTCTGTTCACAGTGATCATTAAGAACTAAAAATTTGATGCTGTCGTCAATGAATTAGCACATAAATGATAATCCTCTATCCAAATCCATTACTTATGAAATTTTTATGTTTTGCAATACATCGCCAAATGTGCCATATACTCGAGAAATCCAGATTTTTTTGTTTTTAATTAAAATAATTTTTTAAGTTATCAAAACACTGAATGTTACAATAATAAGTAAACCAAACAACGATTATAAGCATAGTAAAGTAAGTTATTTGTGGAGAACATACTACATGTTTTGACATAACATTGGTCTGTCTCCTTCATACAGTTTTTCTGATCTGGACTTCAAAGCTAGAGTACTAAATGCAATGTAAATGTTATTTGAAAATCAATAATAAATATAAGACACTGAAAGACCATTATTTTATACTACCAGCACCACTTCTAGACTAGTTAAACAATTATTATTAATATTAATAACTATGTTACTTGTCAGAAGCAATACTAAGTAATAGTAGTATTAATAAAATATGCCAACTATTAGTATTTAATATTACCGTAAGCGTTACTACTACTAACAGTAATACTTATTTTTACTAGAACTAGTACTAGCAAATAATATCATTAATAATAGTAGCATTACTATTAGTATTAAGTAATATTACTATTACTAAATAATAATAGTGCTACTACTAACAGTAGTAGAACTACTGAGTACAAGTTGTAATAGTAGGCCTACAGCTTAAGTAATTATAATACTAAAATATATTTCAAACCGTACTGTACAGTGTACTACCAGTCCTGGTACTAATAATTTATAATAGTCATAATAAAATTTATTGATTTATTTAATATTATTTGAATATAGCAGAAACGACGAAATAGATAAAGACTTACCACTGTCCCCAATAATAAGAAGTTTAAATAAATGATCGTATTCTCTAGCCATCTTTTACAACAACGAACACCATTGACAATAAACAGGGGCGTTAGTTTGAGTCATATAAATTTGCGTTTCCGTCCATTGGTTACAAATTCGCGTGACGATTTCCGTTTTTTTAAATATTTATGATCTATATATTATAATTTGTAACAGTTCTCTAGCACGCAATGTGACTAATTTGTTTTTTGTAATTATATGCCATCTTAGGCAGTGTTGAACGTATAATACATAAAATTACTGTTCACTTTTTTAGCATACTTAGTTAATCTGAGTACCGGTAAATCATGGGCTCTCTCTTTCTCTCTCTATATATACTTATATATACAAGTAAAGATTAGAACAGTTAATTTGAAAACTGGCAAATTGTAATAATACATGAATTTCTCGATTCAAATATCCGGGTACCAGTTCTTTTCGGGAGGAAAAATATATATAATATTAGGTTTTGTATTGTATGAATTAATTAGTTTTTATAACCTCACGTGGTTTCCAAGCGTCATAATTGCGTGATATCTAATAATCATAGTCATGCTCTCTTAGTAATAGGTTAGTGAATTCGTCATTCCAAAGGCATTTACAGTTTTAAAGTAAACTTCCTTAAAATAACAACGTACTTTAAAATTTGGTGTGTTAAAAGTACTGTAAAAGTAAAAGAGAATGAACCACACTAATTATAACGAAAATTTTAATTATACAATTATCAACATTTTCCTTCTCATCTTATTTGCAAATCAAGCTAAAAACTGTACAAGTGATACCACTATGAACATTAGATGTTGCGATAATATTCATATTTCAAGTCTAGCATCTTAATAATAGTATAAGATACTAATGGCACGGTTTAAATGTACTTTATATGCTTTTATAATAAAATTACCCGCTATTGATCTGAAGCAATATTTCCCTATTTAGTATAGTTTGTAAATCCCTCGTTAACTTCGAGTCTATTGTATATTAAGAAAAATTGGCATATCAATCAACAACTTCACTTATATTTCACCATTTGTTTTACTAATAGTGTATTTCAAATTTATTTTAATTTTCTTCACAGTCCATACCTGTAAAATCTTCCTAATACTTCAAAGGAGGGTCCTTTTTTTTTTACAGATCTCCTTAATATATTTTCATATATCAGAAATAGAGCCTATATATATATATATATATACATATAAAGTTTCTATACGTAATTTGGAGTATGGTGGTAATCAGGGCAAAATTAATGAACAGTCTAACCAAGTTATAGCTTGGGACCTCCCAAACTGTCAGCAAAAACTTTTCTAGTTGTCAATGGCTGTGATTACTGTTCATAAAATCCTTTTTCTGATCCTTTCATGTTGGGCTTGGAATAGCCATGCAGGTTCGAATTCCCGTCCCACCAAACATGCTCACCCTTTCAGCCGTGGGGGCATTATTATGTGATGGTCAATCTCACTATTTGTTGCACAAAGAGTTGACGGTAAGTGGTGATGACCAACTGCCCTCCCTCTAGTCTTTCACTGTTAAACTGGGGATGGCTAGTGCAGATAGCCTTTGTGTAACTTTGCACGAAATTCTAAACAAACAAAGTTTTCATAATTGAAACAGTTTCAAGTACTGCAAGAGATCTTCCACATGAAACTGTAAAACACCTTAAACCAAACCCACTTGTTTCAAATCTTTTTCCAAATATCTTGATTGTTTTTTGAATCTATTTAACATTGTCTGTTACTTTGTGTGAAGCTCAATGTTATCTTTCAAAGATCGGTAACACTGCATAAAAAAAAAAAAAAAATGTTTCAGGTCAAATATGAAACAACACTGATTCAATGCTTTGACTTCTCTCTCAACTGAAGGTAAAGTGACCCAACAACTTTTATTTTACCATGCTGCTGTGGGTGTATTTTTTGCACTAGAACTCATGTAAAATGTTCCTCTTCTTGCAAAAGTCATTGCCTATTGTTCAAGGACCCCTTAAGGAGATAAAATTATAACCCTTTTTAATTTATTTGATATAATTTTTAATTTTATGACATAAGGTGGTTCTTTAAAAATATTGATATTGTATATAAATTAATATTTTATATTGTTTCTGTTTTTCTAATTTGGAATGTTCAACATGCAAAGATAACTAGTATAGCTACATAGGGGCCATCGCTTTATCTTAGCTTGGGTTGACAACTTAATCCGGCCCTGGCGATAGCCTAGATGGGCTAAATGACCCCTTGGAAGTGAGATTTTATGTAAAATATCTCATAGTTGGTACGGGAGAAAAATGCAAGTGAAGTCTAATGTATCAGGGTCATGTTTGTTGATCCTACATTTTTTTTTATAGTACTAATATTTTCCAAAGTTTATCAGGCATGTCATTCTTGACTATCTTGTTCCTAAAATCAGTGACAGTACATAACATACCAGACAACTCAACAATAGTCCTATACAGAGATAAAAATGTAAAAACTAACATTACAGCAAATTATTCTTAAGGAAATGAAGAATAGTGGACCTTCAAAATATCGCAACTAGCACTTTTTATAGAGGAAAGAAAGTGCTTTCTATACTACTGGTTTTTACCAGAAAAAGAAGAGATACCAAATGTGATTACTTAAAAAGAAAAGGATGAAGAAAACTTCTTGTGGTATTCTCAGGTTCACTAATTTCCCCTTGAGTAATAACGTAGGATCCACTGGATAACAGGTTTGTAATCACATAGGATCCACTTGATAACATGTTTGTAATTAAACCTGTTATCCAGTGGATTCTATGTGATTACAAACCTGTTATCTAGTGGATCCTATGTGATTACAAACCTGTTATCTAGTGGATCCTATGTGATTACAAACCTGTTATCTAGTGGATTCTATGTGAATACAAACCTGTTATCAAGTGGATCCTATGTGATTACAAACCTGTTATCTAGTGGATCCTATGTGATTACAAACCTGTTATCCAGTGGATTCTATGCCTAATCACATAGGATCCACTAGATAACAGGTTTGTATTCACTACATAACAGGCTTGTAATCACATAGGATCCATCGAATAACATGTTTGTAATTGCATAGGATCCACTCAATAACACATTTGAGCAGGAAATATTTTGCAGAATTAAACTCAGTTATCTTACTTTGACCACGTTGCGAGATAGAAAGGTACTGGATAAAATATCAAACACAATGAAAACAATTTTTATTCTATTCACAAAACAATAAAAAATATTAATGAACATAAGATAACAGACAGCATCTTCACTGGAACTCTAAGATCACTGCAAGTCTGAGAAAATCTGTTTGGTGAACTTTAACAGTTCACTTTACTAAGTAAAGGAGGAAGTAAATAGCTTATTACTGTAGAAAAGTTGCTTTGAAAACTTCTAGAAAGCAAAGCTCCTGGCCTCGATGAAACTTGAAAAAACGAAGTCAGGAAACGATAATGTATTTACCATAATCACTGGCAGTTGCTGAACAGGGATATTTCCTGTTGAAAAATACATATGTGGAAGACCCAGCTACGAAATTACAAATCTGTTGGCTTGTCTTCTATAGTTTGAAAGAGTTTGTTTCAGAAACTGAGAAAACTATAAACAACCGTAATTAAGTTCTTAAATGTTGTTTTTTATGCTTCTAAAATGGGCTAAAGATGAACAAATTAAATTTTCAAGTGTCTCATAATGTGTTAGTAAATAATTAAATGATTAGAAATTTTTCATTCTGATTTAAAGTGACATTAAAAATCTAATATCAACTATTTGGGTCATCGATAAGGAAACTCATTTTCCTGAAAAAATGGACGTCGAAGAAATATTTAATAAAAAAAAAACTGACAGAAAATGGAAGGAGATTGATATAGATTAAAAACAAAACCCAGATCTCCACGATACATGTTTTTATTCATAATATGGATGCAAGTTTATTACAGAACAACAGTTGTGTTGTTTACACATCTTCAAAAAAAAGTGTCGTGTGAAAAATCTTTTTGTATCTAACTCTTATGATTATTATTTGAACAGAAGTACTCGATACTTACTAAAGATAAACAAATCAACATGTGAAATAAAATTTATTTGTCAATGTACAAAAACAGTTCAAACCTGGTTCTCAGATTGTACAGCAATGTGAGATGTTCACCGCAACAAGAACTATTCATACATCTACTTATATTAATTAACATTGAAATTATTACATAATTTTTCATAATACATTATTACTCATATATCCAACAGTACTGGAAAATCCTCAGTAGCTGAAAATGTTTGTATTTCCCACACAAAGTAACTAGAATATGCCACTTCCAGGTAGTAACCTTTTGACTGGGATTATCCAAACAAATCAGTCATTAAATAGTGTGATACAATGTAAAGGTGCACAACTCCTGCATTAAATTTAGAGAAGGATTGAAAAAGTATTATAGCTGGTGATAAAGAAGTACAAATTTATCACCCATTCAACTATGGGAAACTTTCGTTTTATTTTCGCAGTGTGATATCAATATTTATTCAATGATGCAGTGACGTTTTTACATTAATTACTTGCTTTGATCTAACTTCACCGTCGTATTTAGTAACTGTTTTATGCCATAAAAAAGCCATCGCAGTATAGAGACGATGGAATTCTAAGATACATTACCGACACAAATGTCTATCAGTGGAACTTAAAAACAAGCTCTAACTTTATGAAACACAACCTGTTAAGCAAAAGAAAGAAAAAACAAAAAACCCGTTCTTGTGTTAAATAAAAGATGATACGGTTCGCTAACAAAATATATTGTCAAACAGTGAATAAAAGGTTAACAAACCGTGTCGGTCTTTAGTCACTGTTTGACAATATATTTTGTTAACAAACCGTGTCGGCTTTTATTCACTGTTTGACAATATATTTTGTTAACGAACCATGTCAGCTTTTATTCACTGTTTGACAATATATTTTGTTAGCAAACCGTGTCGGAAAATATACTGTCAAACAGTGAATAAAGGCCGACACGGTTTGTTAACAAAACATATTGTCAAACAGTGAATAAAAGCCGACACGGTTTGTTAACAAAATATATTGTCAAACAGTGAATAACAATATCTTATTGGTCCCTTTGGTATTTATGATATACCATTAACATACAAACATTTGTTATAAAGAGCCTTGGACAGTGCATGTTGCATAGAAAACCTGAAAACATATGATACTAAGCCTTAAAACTGAGGTCATGAATCTTAAAATGAGATTCAGTAAATTGTACTTATGGTACTTTATCATCATGAGACGTTAATTCAAAACTTACAACTTCAACATATCATCCATGGTATAATTGTTAATTACAAAAAAGTTGTATTTTTTTAGACTTATTTCATTATTAAAACATAATTTTTACATAATGGTTTCAATAATACTTATACAAAAATAAGAAAATTATTTTATTTCTAAACAAATGCTTCTATCTTAAGAAATAGCAGGAATAAATAGTTTTGAAATGAAAGGTAAAATCTGCCTTTTTGTATTATATTATTTTGTTCTTTAAGATCTTAACTATACATTATATACACGAAGAACATTAACTCTTTATTATACCCTACACGTTACGTAACTCATCAGCAGGAAATCCAAAACCTCTCTTTTAGGAAGCTTTGTGTAACTCTTGATAAACAGTAGTCCAGATGGTCACCTCCAAAGTTTAAAAATTTTGCCCTTGCTGTTCTTAGTAAATTTACGAGGATGAGTATGTAGTCTTTTCTTATCTTCTTGTTCTTGATTCTGTAGCTTAGCTTTCAGTTGCTCGTCTAGAAGGGCTTGCATGTCCACCTGGTGATGGGAAGGAAAATTATTGAATATTTAGTTACTTGTGTATGGAAGCACTTTATGCTGATATAACAGTAAACAGACAAACAATTATTTATAGGCATAAAGAAATGGCTTTTATTTTGGGGAACATGTATGTTCATTACATTCATAAATCAATTTTAGTAATTTTACCATGAATAAAATTTGTGATTAGCAGTATATTACATTAAACGATGCTCTACATAGCATACAAGAACAAAATAATGTCATATCAATTGCTGCATCCTGTTTGGTTACATAAAGTTTTTTTTTTCTTCTACAATACAGTCACAATCCTTTAGTTTTAAAACCTCTATATTTGGTCAATTATATATCT